CCAGAATATCTGAACCATTGCGAAAATGATCAACAATTTCGAGTATATGACATGTCGTATTTGACTTAATCACGTTTGTTACGATGGGGCCCATAGTTTTCATACAGAACTTGGGTACCAAACGAGACTGGAGTTCAGAGGCACGGAGGGGCTTGAAGCGATCAGAAGTTTTTCGTGAAAAAACGTCGCTGGAAACAGTGTTTTGGCAGGTTGACTTGTCTTTGTGAGGGCAAAACGTTACCTTCACAAAGAAATGTTCACTTGTCAAAACGTTGGCTCCATCAACATTCTCTGTAATGATATTTAGAAGCCTTTAGTCTATCACTTGTACTTGAATAACACTATATTAGAAGTAAAGACTAACACATTTTCGAACCCCAGCTACAAAAAATCATGAGCAGGAAACAGCCTAAAATTACTTGGCATCATTTGAACTTAACACCGACAGCAAAAAAAGAACTATGCAGCAGAGCCAACCCGAATCCAAGCCTTTCAATAAACGCACTTTCTCGACAGCAGCCTGGCTACCACCTTCACCAATTAGTCAAGCGACACTGCACTTCTGTCAGTCCAGTCAGGCTTCATTGAACTGGGTTTGCTCATGTGTACTCATGCAAAATGAATACCTGCTCAAATAATAGGTCAAAACTATCGTGCTCACCAATTGCTTTTAGGAAAGGCTGAAAAACCTTCGTGAAACTAGAAATTCTCGTTCTGGCACACCACAGAGCCGTAGAAAACATGTGTTGCCCGATGAAGCCATCTTCGAAGAATGCATAGTTCACTTGTTCAGCTCACTGGGGCTTCCGTTCTCTGCCCGCCACAACTTGCCCTCTGTATCTTTCCCGTAGTTGCCACGACAACCAAGCGAGATAACTGAGCGCGATCCAACTTCTAATACCACTGAGCTAAGTGTGAGAAGAAGCGGAGGCAAGCGCTACGAACGCAACTAAATCACTTCCTGAAATTCATAAAATAAAGAATAAGAAAAGACATATATAAAAAGATAAGTTCTTTATACAAAGGTATTGGATTTTTTTTTGCTATTTGTAAAAACTTGTGCAAGTCAATAAATTCCACCGTTCACCTCAACCCCACCTTGTTAACCCCAATTTAGGATGCCCAGCAGCCGATACGAGCGTGCATGTTTCTTGAAACCGAAGCTATGACGATGAGTTTCCGGGGCCTGATTTCCGGCACACATTTTCGAAGTGCGCCCACGCACTTCTCGTGTTACTTAAGGGACGTCCACGTGTCGTGTGGCTTTCTACA